AGCGAGAAGGGGGGGAAAAAGAAACTGCTTTCTAGGTCTGGATTTCATTTGAGTCTCTCTCTTCCCCTCTTCCCCCCCCTCCCTCTGCTCCCATGTGCCGCTCGGCGCGGGGGGATGAATGCTGAGCCTGTTAGCTCAGAGCTGCGAGCCGGGGAGAGGGAGGAAAATAGCCCAGCTCTTGGCATGGAGACGCGTTTCGGCTCTGAAGGTTGGCTCCTGAGTGTGTGTGTGTGTGTGTGTGTGTGTGTGTGTTGTGGTTGAGCTTTCTCTGCTTGCCAAACTATCTTCCCCTGGCTTTTGCCCTCCCATCCCGCCTGCCTGGCCGGGCAGGAGCTGCTTGCGTGTCCCGTGGCCATTCCTTGCTCAAAGCTGGAGCTGGTGGACCCCGGTGTGTGCTTCACCTTGTTGGCCGCGTGTTGGGGGCATTGGGGTGGGGGGAGAATGGAGGACGGTTGGCGGAGGAATGAATAACTCCATTTAATTCCCCGGCTTCCCTGCAAATCCCGGCTAATGGGGCATGTCTGAGTGGTTCCTAAAGTTGCTCCTGGGTATGTCGAGCCGTCAGGGAGCGATGTGGCAGCGAGCTGCTTCTGGGATGGCTGTGACCGTGTTTGCAGGGAGAGGGGACAGCGGCGTGGCATCACCCACGAGGCTTGGTCTCTTCATGCACGAGCAGGATGACCAGGATCAAAGAGAGAAGTGTCCGTGCCAGAATGGGCAGACCTGGTGGTGGGGTCTCCCTCCTCCTGCCCGGCAGGGTGCTGCTCACCCTCCTGTGGCACGGCAGCCCTGGGAGGCCTGAGGTCTCTTCTCCTGGGCGTTCCCAGCTGGCTGCTGGGCATCGGCACTGGGAGGGAAACCACAGGGATGAGAGGAAACGCTCAAGCCAGGGTGGAGCGAAACTGTGGCCAGAGAAAGCTGCTCCCATGGTTGGCCTGTACCAGACCCGCGGGGCCCCGTCCATGGATGTGCTGAGAGCACCCAGCGCCCCTGGACAAGGACTTACCTGCAGGAACATCCTCTCTTCCCCACCACCTCTGGAGAGTGCAGATGGCACCCTCTCATCCCTCTTTCTTGCTCGTGCTTTCTCCCTCTGCTTTGAGCTACTTCAAAGCATTCCTGAGAGCTGCCCATAACTCAGAGCCTGGTGGGTGTTTCAGCAGCACAGGGTTTTGGGCTGGTTAGCCTCTGCCACTGCGTGCAGGGAGGAGGAGGTGGCAGGGATGATTTGGTCCCACCATGGTTTGGCCTCTCCATCTCCCATTACATCCTCAGTGCCCTGCTGGCTTCCCTCCCTCTGTGCAGAGGTGGCGGGGGGGCTCTGCGAGGGGTTGCTGGTGAGAAAGGGGACTCCCTGGTGACATGATCTGGGGGTCTTTGTTCCAGAAGAGCGTCAGAGGTGGGTTTCCCTCAGCCCTCAAGCTGCCCATCGTGTTCAGCTGCAGTAAGGAGCACAGAGCCCTCATGCCCAGGCTGGCTGTCATCTGCTCCAAGGGTATGCAGCACCCGGGATCCAGAAAGACCCCGGACAAGTGTCTTTGTGCAAAGATCCTAGAGCTCTTGCTGGCTGCTGGGAGCACCTTTCCAAATCCCTGTTGTCTGAGCGCATACGTGTTTCATAGACTTCTGTTGGACCCGGGTGATTCAGATGGGGCTGAGCTGTGGCAGGGACACAGGCAGGGCACATGGCTATATGGTTGTGCTGGGGATTAGTGGGGGATGCTGAACTTGGGCCACTCTGTCCTTGGTCAAACACGAAGAGGTCGTGTGTTGTGTGGTTCCCCAGAGCTGTGCCAGCCATCTCAGCAGGGTTTCTGATACGCAGCTCCAGGGTGAAATGTAGGATGGGGCAATAGATGGCAGAAGGTCTGGTCTTGGGTTTTCTCCGTGGGTCCCTGCTCGCAAGGGTCAGCACAGGCAGGGAAAGCTGCTCAGTGGGGTGGCGACAGAGGGAAAGCAAAACCCATGCGTGGGCACAGAGGGGAACTGTGCTCAAGGAGATTTGGGGCACAAAAGTGACAATATCAGCGGGTCACACTGGTGGCTTCCAGACCCATGGCGAAGCACAGATTCACAGGGTGAGCTGCTTGGCTCACACCAGTCCCACCGCTGGCACACGAGCGGTGCCCGGGGGTCTCGTGGGGCCATAGCCTGTGGTGCTGGTGGGGCAGAGGAGCAGGGAGCAGCGCTGAGACTGCCCTGGGGTCCCCCCTGCCCCGGGGTCCCCCCTGCCCCAGCCATGCAGCTGGTGCTCCCGGCACGGGCAGCAGGAGGGCAGGGACTCTGGCTTTTAGCAACTCACCGAAAGATGACTCAGATGAAAGCAGATCCGTGCAGCGCTGGGGGCCACGTCCCAGTCACTGTTCTGGCCCTGAACATGCTTTTAATTAATACTCTGCTGTGGGTGGGAAGGGCTGAATCCCGAGCTGAGTGTGTGTGGCTGTCGGACAGGGTGAAGGCACCCCAGGGCGGGTGGGAATTGGGTCTGGCTCCTCTTTGAGAGTTGCTTTCCCACAGCTGCTGGAGCTCGGCACGTCCCATGGGGTCTCTTCTGCCCCAGGGAGAGCTCAGGCTTTGTTGCACAGAGGGGTGTCCCCAACCCAGAATCCCATCTCTGTGGATGACAAGCACCTCTTGTTTCTGGGGGATGCAGGAGATGGTGTAAGGTGATGCTGTAGCTCCGTGCCTGGTTCACTGCCTGCTCCGGGGGTCTTCTTTGGTCTCTGTAACAAGGTACCAGTATGTTCGTGCCTTTGGGTGCCGGTATAAGAAACAGTCTCATACAATCTACTAGCCCCCTTTTAGTCTGGTTAAACCATCTCTTACACACTTCTACAGGCCAATACTGCATGAAAAGCCTTAGATCTAAATGAATTTGTTTCCAGGCTCCCCTCTCCAGTGGTTCTGGGGCCGTGGAGCTGTGCTCTGGGGTGCTGTGTTCCTCACATCTGCCCCTTCTCTCTGCTTTGTCAGATTGCTTTGGTGGCAGTGGCCTGGAGATGGCTCTCCTGTCTTTCTGTAGCAGATGGCTCTTTTAACTAGTCCAGATCTTGCTACAAAGCCTTAATTGTTAATATCCCAGCCCCCTTACCTATTCTCAAACGAAAAGGCAGGGCCCTCAGCACCCTGGGCAGGGGGGTTTAGTTACTGTGATGATGGGGCGACAGGATGGGTGCAACCGTGATGGGAAAGGAGGTCTGATCTCCCAGGTAAATTATTGATGTCACCTTTAAAATTGCACCATGAAAACTCATTTTAAGAGTTAACAAATGATGAGTAGGTAATTGTAACACCTGACTGGGATGAGTGGCATGTGTTAGGCAGGGCCCAGCAGCTGGGAGTGCTGTAAGTGCTGGCAAGGAAACTGCTGAGCTCCAGCAGGAGGGATGAGCTGGTTGTTAACCCCTTGGTGATCATTCTTAATTTTTCAGTCACACATGTATCCGCTATGGATATATTTGTGCATGTCTATGAGTACAGGGTTTAACATGGTTTCATACATCATCCTGTGCACTCGAATGATTTGAGCAGGGAGGAGACAGCCCCCCTGTTTGCAGCGTGAGGCTTTCGGAGGCTGCACAGGCAGCAGCTCTCAGACAAAGTGCAGAGGCAGAGCATCTTCAGCAGTCCTCAGAGCCACCTGGGAAGCACCATGTGCCTGGACTGAGCAGTAGGAAAGGAGAGTAGAGACCCTTTTTGGGAATGCTGGAGGTATGAAGGGGTTTGGGGAGCGAATGTGCTTGTTTCTTATTTTTTTAAAATAGAAGTTAATCTTTAAAATGCATGTAGCAGGGTAAAGGGTTGTTTCCAATCATTCTAGCTGTCTTTTCTGTCTCGTGTCCTTTGGTGTTCTGTGTTATTGCTGAGAAATGGCAGAAAAAAAGCTTGACAGGTTTCTTTTTAGTGGTCTTCTCGTAGCTATGCATCTTCTTTTACCAAGCATTTTTCATCTTCCTCTGGCTTGCGGTGTGTCACGTGTGTGGGATGTCAAATCAGGCGTTTACAGTCTTGGTGTCTTTACCTCCTGTTATATCTCGCTCTGTTCATCCAGCCCTGATACCCAGGGACACCTTCCTGTCTGTCCTGCCTTTGCTGGAGTCTGTTGGTCTGTCCTTGGCCCTCCCTTCTGCTGTCAGTGTCCTACTCCTCGTGTCCCTGCCTGGTGCTGACCCCCATGGTGTGTGATGCCCTGTCGCCCGAGGCCATGTCCTTGTGTGTTGAGTGCTGTAAAAACTACCTGCAGCTTTTTTCACCGGAGTTTCTTGTTCGACATCTTGTACCTTCATCCTAGATGTTGTGTGGTAACCTGTTGTGATGGCGGGTTTGGGCTTATTTAGCAG